AGGAATGCCCATCTCTTGATTTCCACACACGTGGGGACTTGGTCTGGACCCACATGCCTCCCAGATTCAAAGGTTTAAGTCCAGGGACAACTCAATTTTTGGGCTCATGTAGTAAGTATGGGAATTTGGAAAAATTTTGGAGTGTGTCTCATTTTCCCTGCAGTGTGTATAAATAAAGATCTAGGAAGCTTAGTTAATCACAAAGACTGAGACTAAAGCAGGGCTTGGGATGTATGAGCAGAAGTATGAGGGGCAGGTGGATGGAGGTGACTGCCTGCCCAGCTCTGTGCTGCCCCGGTATGCAGTGCTAGAATCTGGCAAACTGCAGGCTCAGGGGACAGCCAGCTTGGGCAGGAGTCCAAAAACTTCTACCAAAAGGCAGCAAGGAGCCTGGTGATGTTTGCCACGCAGATTTTTTTTTTTTCGCTTGGTTGATCTTTTCTTCTTTGGCTTCTGGATTTTTTTTTTTTTTTAAAGACGTGTTAGAGAGAAAAGAATTGGCATTTCTTGAAGTCCCTCCGGGAGCCGACCCCGGTGCGTGCCCTGCACACGCTGCCCCATGGCGGTCAATTCTTGCTTTATGGATGGGAACCAAGGCCGGAAGTCTTGCCTCTGGATGATGGTGGAGACAGAGTCCCAGGACCAATCTCTGTAGGCATCCCAGGGAAGGAGACATCTGTTTAATATAATAGGCGTTTGCACAAAGTAAAGGGTAGGAGGTGATCACGTGGAAGCTACATTCCGGGGCTCTGGGAGCAGAGGGGGGTCCTCTTGTCAGGGAAGCTAGCCCAAGGACATCTGTGCCCCCTGCTTCATCGAGCCCTGAAAGTCTCCTTGAATTGGGGAGAGGTGGACTGGCTGGGGCTGAGGGCCGAGAGGGGTAGGCGAGTGTCCCCCTTACCAGGCTCTCCTTTCAGATGATTGAGTCCAACGACATTTCAGGGGAGAAGATGAGGATGAAGGAGACTGTGGAGGGTGAGTGGCCGCTGGGCCGGATGAGATGCGGGGCTATGGGGAAAGGCTGGTCGGTTCTGCCTCTGAGCTGGGTCCCGCTTTGTTTTGCATCGTCTGCCGTTTGGTGAGAGCCGCCTACTGCGTGCACCAGCCACTCACCCCCGAGGTGAGGAGGGCGGAGGCTCAGTTTATTGAGAACCTGATTGTATGTTTGGTTTTGTTATTTTTAAAATAGGTATAAACTTCAGATTCTTCAAAGGGCATATGGTGAAGCATCCTCTATCCCCTAGTTCCCTCCGCAAAGGCACAATGTTGGCCAACTCATGTCTCTTTTCCAGAGGTGGTTTATGCACATACAAGCACAGAGGTAACACAGATGGTGCCACACTTCCCACACTGTTCGGGCTCCTTACTCTTTTTTTTTGGCCATGGCGTGCGGTTTGCGGGATCTCAGTTCCCTGACCAGGGATTGAACCCGGGCCATGGCAGTGAAGGTGTGGAATCCTAACCACTAGACCACGAGGGAACTCCTTCGGGCCCCTTACTTCTTTTTGCCCATTTAATAATGTATCTTGGAGACTGCTCCCTGTCACTACATTCTTTTATATGGTGCAGAATATTCCATCATGTGGAGCTACCATCGTGTATTTAGCTGATGGATCACGGGTTGTTTCCAGTTTTTGTCTGTTACAAACCCTGCGGCAGGAAATTACCTTGCCCTCCACCAGGCTCAACCCGGGCCATCAGCAGTGAAAGCGCAGAGTCCTAACCACTGGACTGCCAGGGAATTCCCAAGGCTCAACTCTTTTTTTTTTTTTTTTTTTTGCAGTACGCGGGCCTCTCACTGTTGTGGCCTCCCCCCTTGCAGAGCACAGGGCTCCGGACCGCGG